ATCTGTCATCTCTTTAACTTTCAGCATACAGTTCATACATAAGGACCCTAAGAATGTAAAAGACTGGGTAAGCATTTATCATCCTTATTATCTTCTCCATTTCTGTGTCATTTCTGTTGCTGCAAGTTCAGAACTAGTGAAAGTGTTTTCTTCAAGAGCCACAAAGGATGAAATTTCAGCCTAATGTTCATGTTGAGAGTGATTATAAACCTTTTTATCTGTACCAACACTGCAGATTGATTTAGAAGCTTATTGTATTGTATATTGTATTAAAACCAGGGGCCAGGAATCCACTCGCTAATAGGTGATGTTGTTCTTCCATCTGTCATGGCCAGGTCAAGCTTCTTGTCTTCGAGTCTTATTATTGTTAGTTCTCCTCTACACAGATTTTGCCCATTAGTTTCGATATGACTAGGCTAAAAGAGGCTGACTCTTTTTCCCTTAAATTATTAACTCACTATTTCCAGTGGTCCCTGGAAGATTGATTCTGACAGGATTTTTTAGACGAATGCACATGCTACCATAACCTTCATATTAAGAGTGAAAAGGAAAAAATTGTGTTCAGCTGAAGTAATGACACATTCCGACCTGCACTTAGCAGGAAGAGTACTTTGACTATGTCTATTTTTCAAAGCATGTTGAAATGGACAAGATGTACCAATAGAAGCACCTGGATTTTTTCATGCTTTGCAGTAACTGTTCCCAGTTTATTTTGAATCGGACATACCTGAAAAAGACTTGCATTTAGAGTCCCTGGGCAAAAAAGCATTGTCCTGAAAGCATTTGCATCTGTGGTCTCTACGATATAATTTAGCTTGCAATGTTTTTGAGAAACGCAGGCCTGAACAATTCAGTGACTGGGTAAGTCTTATTTAAACTGCTAACCGCACATGGAGGCGCATGTTTTCCTGAGTGGATTTTAAAGCATTGTTACACTTTCCTCTAGTCATTTTTTGTTGCTGCCTGGAGCTTCTGGAGCTCTGGCTGGCACAGAAAAGATGCGTGATTTTCTTTTTTATGTTGATGAGAGAATATGTAGGCATTATTTCAGTTTAATTGAAGATTTTTTTTTTGTGACTAAGTCTCATAAATAATGGCTGTTTAAAAAAACTCAACTGCAAATTTACACACCTGTCAAGGGTTATTTTTATTCTGTCTTAAGCCTATCAGAGTGTCTCACTATTCAAAAACAGCTTAACCTGTTAGAAGATACTCTGTGGTTTTTGATTTAAGCTAGAGAAGCCCTCGCTCTTAGCCCATGCATTCCAGCACCATAAGAAGTTCAGTAAAGTAATACCGCTCCTCTTTGAAGTGCCCCCCAAGATCAAATCTTTGACATCACTAACTCATTTCAAGTCTAAGCAAAAAACCCGCACCTTCTTGAAGTTCCAGTCTGTGATTATGTTGCAATAAAGTGGATTCATGGTCATCTGGACTTCTGGCCGACTCGCTATATGGACCCTAGTCCCTCGATTGAAAGAACATCTGTCGCTTTTATCAAAACTCTATTGACTTGTGACTGTGTTGTCACTGACAGTTGACGAACCAGTTAAAAGCTCCTTTGTTTGAATTGTTATTATGGTTTAGAAAGAAAAATGTTTAGAGAGCTCTAAATATTTCAGAGACATGAGATATGGGGCAAGCTAAGCTTAAAGCAGTCTTAATCAAAAGCATCAAAGAGTAACGAAACACCAAAGAAATCGCTTAAATCTTGAATTATCCATCGTGGGCCTTTAGTAAACAGGCAGAGGCCCTACTGGGCTGGTTAAGCACACACACTGAACTGGGATCAGGCCTTTAGAAGCTGCGTTGGGGAACATCTGTCAGTGCGGTCAAGCTCTCACTCACTCAGTATTTGGGGGTGGTTTTTTGTGCTATTTTGGATTGGGTGCTGCTGCTAAGGGCCAGTCTGGCAGAGAGAAGTGTGGGGAAAGCCACAGTGGCATCTGTCTCCTGGGGCCCTCAGCTGAAGAACCCACCGAGGACCCAACCATTACGTTCTGATGACTGTGATGCTCTAAAAATTACTTAGGGGTCACCTCCGGACAGATTTTATGAACTTGTAACAGCATAGATGTGATTATTTGTGACAATATGTTATCTTGCACACAAAGTAGACTATTCATTCACTCCGTCTATTCATTTATTATTTACTATATTAGGGTGACCATACATGCAGACCGATCGGTGTATGACATCAAAATACCCCGAGAGCATTTTGAAAGCATAAGGAACCGTCTGTATGGTATTTTGATGTCATACACTGATCGGTCTGCACACGCAAACAAAGCCAAAACCTAGATATTTTAGGCAATATAGAAATCCTGGCCAGGACGCGTCCTGGGAAAATGGCACGTATGGTCACCCTAACTATATTAATTTTGGTTAAAGAGTGCCCTCACACATTTTTAGTGGTCTTGGTCTTGGCACCATTTTTCCCAAGAAGATTTTAAGTCTTTGTTAAAGATTTATATGCCATGCCATGAACCAAACCAACCAGCTGCAAGGTGAATCACAACCTTGCAAACTTTTATTTGCAGCAAAAAAGTTATTTGAAAATTGGGCCAAAAGATAAAAGTACAAGACTGTGTACTTAACAGCTTTTAATGACGCTGTGGAAAAATTAATTTAAATTAATCTGGCTATTAATTTAAAGATGCTGTTTTTATATAGAAACAATATATTTTAACGTTTATTGTGAAATATGCAAATATAAATACATATTTAAGTTATTAGGGAAACTTTATTACATCATTTGCAGTACTTCATAGCAGTGGGTGGGTGCTAAATTATTTTAAAATGATTTTGATGTGATTTGCTTGACTCTGTTCTCGGATTGGTGGAGATTTTTATGTAGTTTTCCACCAAAAATTACACCATCCAATTACACTGTTCAAATTATTTAACAAAGTTGAAATAATGCAAGCTGATGGCTTCAACAAAAGCATATACCACTGATTAACACCCTTGTAGCTCACAGTATGTCTGTATTTAAAAGGTTTACTGTAAAAAATCAGTTCCCATATGGATAAAAGAAGGGGGATTTTTACTCCCAGAAACTGACTAAACTGACTTAACTTGTTTGTTTATTTGTTTTCTTTTGTGGTTAAAAAATAACCCATCCAGCAATGTGGAACACCCAAGTGCATACATCACCCAGTTGAACCATTTTTGCCACAGCTGACATGCTTGCTAAAGCAAAACATGGAGACAGGCCAAGAAACTTTGGATTACGTTTCCGTGGTATAATGTAAATGCACAAATACTGCTTGCTAAAATCCCAAAGAAGGAGAACATCATGCCATGTAACCACTTTAGTACTGAGAATCACCCAGTGGTTCAGTGGTCAAGAGAAGTATTGATGGTTTTTAAATGTCTTACGTTAATATGGATTAGTCTCTGTGGCTTTGATCACTTTGATGACCACTATTAGCATGAATTTTGGTCATTATTTGCTAATTTACTAGTTACATGTGAAACTCTGGTTTAGACCAGTTTAATGAAGCAGGAACTGCTAATGTAGAGAGCAAGTCTTCGCATATATTTTCATTACTGTCATTTCCACAACATCATAGTCAGTTTACGCAGATTAACTACAAACTACAAAAAAGTTCAATTTGATATCACCATTTTACCTGATTGACAGATCTAATAATGTTACAGTAAGCAAATTTTTTTTTGTCTGTCTTCACAAATGGGTACTGGTTTAAACTGAACTCTCACATTAAGTTCTGTGACATTTCAAATGATTCCATCAGTCATTTTAAAGTCTAAGCAGCTCTTTGCTCCAGTCTTTTACTTGGCATGTCAACAGTGTTTTTTCTCTTAATTAGTTGCCTAGTCTGTGACAAATTTGAGTCAGAATGATGTCTAAAACCCTTAATTTCCAGCCCAACATAAGAAAGCCACAATAATATTAATTCACCTGATCCAAAGGCCTCAGTCACAGGTTAGTGATTGTGCTTGCTTCTCTTGAGTCCACGTGACCCGTTTCACTTGTTTTAGTGAGCACAGTTTCTCTCACAGTTCTTGGAGAATTGTTACATTGGGACACTTGCCCTTGCTCATAAAAGCATGCAGTCATTTCGTTTGAAGCACTCCCCAGATCACTTCCAAAAGGCTTAAATATCATTATAAGGCAAACCTGGCTCTGCATCTACCATATCTTTATTACCGTTGCTTTAATGGCTTCTGTGGGAGTGAAGTCATCTACTTAAATCTTACATCTGAATGTTATGCAAAGGTCCTCCAGTGTCCTCTGATCTCGTTGCAGTAAAGCTTCAAAAATGTGTGTCTGCAAATATAATCCAGATTGACATGTCTTGAAAATTATGCACATTTGAGTTTGACCCAAAATGATTTTGACAAACACATAAGAATATTTTTGGGTTATATTTCTGAACTGAATTATGCTCATCAATTCTGGCAGCTCTGTGTAAGATGAAGGTAGGTGGAATTTTTGAATAGTTTATTTTTTATGCTATGAATGTGACATTCCTGTTTCTTCTGACACTAAATCAGTTTTAGGTTGTACGAAAAGCCTTTTAGGTAAATCATTATGTCAGATTAATGTCTTTTCGAATGATTATGATATTTTAACTGTTGCCAGGGATTACTTTAGGTGGATTTCTGGAGTGGAGAAATTATGGATCTCACATGCTGTGAGTTTGTCATTAAAATAACATTGTTTCTGAGAAGAATTTTACTTTGGGTGGCATATTAATTCTTATATTAATACTGGCTTTATTCAAACAGTTCCTGAAAAAATCCCTATCCATCAAGTTAATCAGGAGTGCCTGCACTATAATTTTACTCAGTGTTATTTGGACAGTCTTAAGCGGTGTTTGTTCCAAGTTCTTTTGTGCTTCAACTGGTTCTAAACTGACGCAGAGGCGCACAAACCACAGGATTGGCCGAACACTTGTCGAGCTGTCAGGCATGAGCAGTGCAATCTGTCTTGCTCTGAGATCCTGCATTCTCAAACTTGCTAGATTCTTAATACATGGCAGCTGCTCTTTTGCCACGTGGCAAGCGCCATAAAGAGCAGCTTTCTTTTAGTTTGAAGTATATAGTGTTGAGATTCAGCTCATGCTGAATCTCTTTCCCCTGTGCCAGACTCCAGCTTGAGGTGAACCTCAGTGCACAAGTACACCACGCAGCAAACCAGGTAAGACCACCCCTGAGCATTACACTGTCTGGGCCAAATCACTATTTTTTTGGGCTCGTGCAGCATTTAGAACTATATTTTGTCTGAGTTTTGAGGGTTAAATAGATAGTTCACCCTAAAAGTGAAACTGCTATTCACTCACCCTCATGTTGTTCAAAAACTAAATGTAGTTCTTATGTGGAACACAGAAGTGAATTTTTGGAGAATATCAATGCTGCCCTTTTCCATACAATGAAAGTGAATGAGAAATGAGACTGTCCAAAATGACAAAAAAAAAAAAGGTCATTAAATGTGGTTCAAATGACATCTTCTGAAGCCATATTATACTTTTTTTCTGGTAAGGAACTGATTGAAATTTGAAATATTGTTTGCTTAAAATGTTGACATCTGTCCTAGCTCTTCTTGATGCACTGATGAGAGAAGATGTGATGTCTGATTCGTGGACAATCTTTTGAGACTGATCTTTTCAGACTGATCTAATGATCTGGTTGAATTATCTGGAAAAATTATCAGTGAATAATGACTTATGATTTAGTTTCTTCAAGTCATATTGCGTTGGTGGACTTGAAATGTAGCAAACAAGTTTGAATGAGTATGTTTGAAGTATGAATCTTTTTCATAATACTTTTTATTTTTGACACTTTTAGGCATGACACTCCAGTTCTCGTTGTCATTCGTGGAAAAGAGTAGCTTGAATGTTCTTCAAAAATGTATTTTTATGTTCAGTGGAAGAAAGAAAGTCATATGGGTTTAGAACAACATGATTGTACATCCTATTTGCCTGTCAAAGTCAGCAAATAACAAAACAAAACAAACAAACAAAAAAACTGAGATTCTTGTTTCTTTTTTTGTATGAACTGATAAACGTGTTAAGCTCTTAGACAAGGCACGTGAATCTTTTAATATAAAACCTAACTTCTGCTCATGCATTCATGCCATTGTCTGTCATTCAGGGTTCACACACCCTCCCACAGTCCCTCCTGACCAGACCCAGGCATCAGATTGTAAGGAGAGAGTACAGACCAGGTGCAAACAAAATGTGAAATACTTTCAGTGGGTGGAACTGCAGGCCACGGAGGAGAAGGTTACCATGCCTCTTTACATTTTTATAGGCCCAGAGATTTACTGTTTCCCTCTAAGGGACTGAGATTCTCCCCCCACAGCGTGGGATTCCTCTCTGAAAGATTGAGCTGACACAAACAGGCTGCCAAAGATGATCAGGATGAGCGTCTAGTTTATAACCAGTCACCATTTATGTATATAACCCTTCACTTATGCTGCTGTTTTGCATCATGGTTTGAATTAATATCTGATGGCCTTGATGCTTATCTGAGGAGTTTTCCCCCAAAGTAATAAAGCACATTTTCGTTGAATGATAGCATCTGCAGTGGCTTTAGCTGTTTGTTTATTTTCTTTTGCAGTATTTGGAGTTAGTTTAACTTATGCTTATGAAAGTACTCAAGCAAGTTCCTTTGTGCAGTTACGTTTAAACCTCATTCATTTAATATATATATATATATATATATATATATATATATATATATATACAGTGTTGGGGG